ACGGATACAAAGAGCTTGTGTCTTCATCTGCCATCCTGTATCATTCATTTCTAGCAAATACATGATATCCGACTGTCCGTCAAAGTACAACTGTATTGCGCAACAGTTCTCTTTATCATTCATTTAACATCTATGAGACATGCTCATTGAAAGTGGGAGATATGAAAGACTAGTTGTCTTTAACTGGAGATGTTTGTGTTCTATCTCTCTCTCTCTCTTTTTAAGTTGTATAATTGAGTTGGTAAAACTGAGGTTAGACGTGGAATGTTAGATGAAGAGGATAAACCAATTTAATGAAGATGCGGGGCGACATTGTCTGAGATGGCCACGACATGTGTTGTACATGCTAACTCATCTCTTTCCTCAACGAATAATATTAACTGAAAAATAAAGGTCAGATTAGAAAAGAACTAGGAAGTTTTAAAAAAAATCCCTTTATGTTCCCAGTGGAACATAGGGCTTCAAGCTAGAGTTTTGAAGTTTCGTTAACAGAGTTTAATTTTACGGGGTGAGATTGCTAGTCTCTCTTTACAAGTCTTATTACTGGTTTATTCAGGTAGAGGAGTGGGTCGGTCGGGAGTCGAACGCAGGATCACATGTGTGGTCGGAGAGCATTCTACCTCTAGGGCTACCAAAGCACAAGTTAGAGAATGGTCAAGTCAGAGCTTGACATCAATATCTGAAATCAATCTTTAAAAGTTGGTTTGAGTCATGTAAAGATTGTGTAAACTTCTTAGTTGGTGTCCTCCTGTAGGCAGACTGTAAGTGAGATGATTCAAAATTCTTCTCAATGATGCAACCTCCTATATCCATCAAGCCATCATGTTTCTCCATATATAATATTCTATTTTACATATATTTCTACTGGTTTTATTAAAGTTCCTTTGAAACTACTTCTCCTACTCTCTTCAACTTTTGTATTCTTTATGGAGTATAGCAGCTTGAAGTGCTTTTTTTTTACTTCTGTGAAAGGTTCTGTGTTTGAAATTCACTCATGTCTGTGATATGTATCCACGTAATATGTGTGTTGGTTTTTGACAGTCTGTCATATTTCGCTATGTATATATGGATCGATATTCCATTATAATTGACAATATGTTTTTGTCTGTCCACTAACTAAACAAACATGTCTGACCTTGTTGTCACATGACATTACAACCAATCATGTTAAGACTGTCCATTGATTCGTTCATTTATGAACATTCGCTCATACACTTCTGTGACATTGATTTTCCTTGTTTGAAAAATACAAGTATCATCGTGAACCTGGTGGTTTTCTGATTTCCGCCTTCTTGCGTCAGGACTATTAATTACTCGACCAGTACATAACAGTCTGCCTGAAGACAGCAGCAAACCCAGTGGCAATGAATTGTCAATAATACCAGCTATTCTTGGCTTGGTTAGCTCAGTCGGCAGGGCATCAGATTTTTCATCTGAGGGTTGGGGGTTCAAGCCCCCCATCGGGCGGCGGCGGCTTTTGAGGTACCTAGCGTGTCATATGCTCTGATGGTGTTCTCGTGACTTTTGTTGCCAGATCTGCCAGGGGCGATGGGATAGCATGCGACCTAATGGTTGTGTGCAATGTTTGAAGAAGGCTGTGTGCTAGCTATATGCATGCGCCTCGCCCTGATAATGTGTTCTCCTTTACCTCACTACGCCAGAAATAAAGCTAGTAAAGAGGAAAGGTTGGCTAGGCATGAGGTTAGCAACCCCATCCTGTAAAAGCTAAACGCTGCTACAGAAACATCAAGCTTCTAGCTTGAAGCCCTATGTTCCACTGGGAACGTGAAGGAAAAAATTATTCAAGTGATGGTTTGTAGGGATTTGATTGGTTTCAGGATTTCATCATGAGCTGACATTAGTTAGAGAACCATTGGAAAACCTGGGAGTATTGGACAACTGTTTCGTCCTAGCTTAGGACTCTTCAGCAGTACGCACCCACCGGGATTCGAACCCAGGACCTTCCGGTTACAAGGTGAGCTCGTATACCATTAAGCAACCGGGACCCGATCCAATGGTCCTTGAATTCTAACTTCTGCCAATTCCCGACATAGTGCAACCGCTAGCCAATGTCTTCGGCAAGTATTTGTCCTCACACCCGACCAGCTGTACCCTGTGCCAATGAGATGCTCACTGGCGACTGGCCCTATTCAGGTAGGTAGTTACCTGGGTTCCAGTGGGAAGTCGTGACCAGTAGGGTGCAGCTGGTCGGGTGTGAGGACAAATACTCGCCGAAGACATTGGCTAGCGGTTGCGCTATGTCGTGAATTGGCAGAAGTTAGAATTCAAGGACCATTGGATCGGGTCCCAGTGGCTTAATGGTATACGAGCTCACCTTGTAACCGGAAGGTCCTGGGTTCGAATCCCGGTGGGTGCGTACTGCTGAAGAGTCCTAAGCTAGGACGAAACAGTTGTCCAATACTCCCAGGTTTTCCAATGGTTCTCTAACTAATGTCAGCTCATGATAAAATCCTGAAAAAATTATTATTTAAAATTAAATTATTCCAGCTATTCTGCCTCCTCATTTTCTCAATAAATCTCCATTTTCATTTTGTAGGGAGTTTTACTGTTTGATCGGTGCTCACTAGCGACTGGTCCTATTCAGGCAGTTTACCTGGTGTCCCAATGGGAAGCCATGACCAGTAGGGTATAGCATGCTGAAGGCCTAGAAGTAACTCATCAAAGAAGACATTGTGAAATGGTTGTGATATGTAATGAATTGTCAGAAGTTAGAATTCATGGGCTGGCTGGCCATTGGATCAGGTCGGGTTCTAGTGGCTTTAATGATCTACGAGCTCGCTAGCCTTGTAACCAGAAGATCGTGGGTTCGAGCTCCCATGTGGTGTGGTGGGAGCGTACTGCTGAAGAGTAACAAGCGAGGCGGATGAGACAACTGGATGTCCAGTACTCCCTGGCAAGTTTTCCAATGGTTCTCTAACTGATGTCAGCTTATGATGAAATCCTCCAATCAAATCTTCTTTCGTCCCAGTTTGAGAATCATCAGCAGTACGTACCCACTGGGTTTCGAACTCACGACCTTCCAGCTACAAGTAAGCAAGCTCAGTAGACCATTCAGCCACTGGGACCCTATTCAATGTATCGATTCGTGATGCATTTAGCGTGACCATCAATCAGTGTCATCAGCGGGAAATTCATCTTCCCCCCACCACCACCGTGACTGGATCGACTGGACCTCATTTCTCACTAGAACTCACTTTAGGCTATTCCGTTCTGTAGACAGTCAGTCAGTCACTAGCGAGCATCACGCGCTAAAATCACGAATTGGTAGTAGGAGGAGTTTCAATTCATGGATTGGTTATTGAATTGGCTCCCAGTGGCTGAATGGTATACGAACTTCTCTGTATTATTTATCGTTATGTGATTGAAAGACTTCGCATGTCACTAAAAGTACCTCCAATATGCACTTCAGTTTTTCACTAATAACTGCCGACATTGGCTCCATACTGAAGGTCAGATAGCCTGTCAGAATGGATTAGCAACAAGAAACTCCGTCAAAGAACTAATCAAGAACCTACTTCCCAAGAGATACGCCGAAGAAAATGAGTATGGATTGGACACATGCTGAGGAGATCATTAAGTGACATCTTTATCGGCGGGTGGAGATATGTGGATGACACTTTCACAGTGTTAAATACAGAACATATCTCTAGCTTCTTGACACACATAAACTCACTAGTGGAGGGAATAAAATTCACATTTGAATCGGAAAGTGAACAAGGAGAATTAGCTACGATGTTAGATTGTAAAATCAAACGAATAGAAGAAGGCAAACTACACACTAGTGTTTATAGAAAACCAACGCATTCTGCTAATAGATAATTAGACTTAAATTCATCTCATCCGTTCTCGCTTTGTGAAGGCAGGCTTAGTTAAGTGTCTAACAAACTGAGCAGTGGCAATAAGTAGCACAAAAAAGACCTAAATGATGAACTGAAACAGATAGAAGAGGAAGCATTGGTGTTAATTATCCTTTGAAATTCATTAGGAAGATCAAAAAAGGCGAAAATAAAAATAAGAATAATTGTGAAACTAGAAATGATAACATAAATAAGAGAGAATATAAGGCATCTACAGTTATACCATATAATATGGGGACATCTGAAACTCTCTATACGTAGGATTCCAAATAAAGCAGGAATTAGGGTGGCATTCAAACCTACAAACTCATTCAGGTAGGACACGCTCTGTAGGTCAAAGGACCCAGTTGACCCAATTAGACAAAATAATATAATTTACAAAATACCCTGCAATGACTGTGAGTTAAGTCAACTACATAGGTCAAACTAGTAGGTCAGGGGTAGTCAGATTGTCCGTCAGAACATAAGAATTTAGCTAAGATAAGAATGGTTGACCCTGAAAAGATAAGTAATTAAGAAGAAAGCTCAGCAATTGCACCGCATGCATTAACACACAACCACACAATAGCATGGTGGCTAGGAGAGGGTTAAAATTCTAAAAAGTAATCTAGGTAGGTGGAGATAGAGAGAGGTTGATTACTGAATCCTGACTGGTTCATCGAGTCCACACACCCAACACATGCAATAGGAGAATGATTCATCACTCATACCCGAAATATGGAAAATACTACTACCAATCAAATCAAGTGAAAAATAATGGAACTATATAAATGAAGTTGGGAAGTCGTGTGAGTAGTGCCTTGATATGATTACGAGCAGTAATAAATTGTGCTCGAAACGTGGTCATCAGTAAATATTACTGTATAACACTGTGAGACTTTATCAAAACAAAAATTTACCCATAATGGAAGTATCGGCGGGTAGGTTCTCAAGTAGAATCCGAATGAGGAACAACGAGTTAGGCGTTCGAGACTGACTTAGGAGAGATCGAGTGAAGAGAGAGTCAGAGGTTATGCATAGTTACTGAACCAGTTAAAGTCGACTGGAGAGAACTCGGAAGATAGGAAGATGGGCTTCTGAAAACTTGCGTTCCATTTGGAACTCCAGGGGAATAATAATATTAACACTTGAATATTATTATTATTATATGACATATTCGTCTGCCAATCAGAATCATTCTAGACAGTTTAGCCAATCAAATTTCGAGTTGTTTTTCTTTTCTTGGCATACACACACAAATATACACATATACAATTAGAGCTGAAAAAGTTAAATAAAACAATAAATCAATCGATGAAAACAAATAAACAAATGTAGTAATGGTCAATGTACAATAAATATACCGAAAGCATATTGTGGTGGAAAGGGGGGTGACGTGTATGTGCGTGTGTGCGTGCATGCATGCGTGATGGGTAGTTATGTTTTACTATGAAAAGAAAACAGAGAATGAACCAGCATTGTGCGGGGGGGGGGCGGAGGAGTCTGGCAGTAAATAATCAAAAAGGCGGAATATAAATCTGAAAAAAATAAAAATATATCTGTAGAAAATTAATAGCTGTAATGTCGATAGTAAAAATAGAATCCTGTTAAATGAAGATAACTGGCTCTCAGATGAATATTATGATCTCTGGGCTCTAGATTGGCGAGGGGGGGGGCTAGGGAGAGATTTCATTGTTATTCTAGGTTTTTTTCTATTTAACGCAGCACTGAAGATATTGTCTCGGAAGACAATGAAACGTTCGTGGTTTAAACTGAATCTAATGGAACACAATAATTACATTAAAGAATAAAACTTTGTTTGTTTTTATTTTGGTTTGATTGTTCTTCTTTTATATTAAATGACATAATCTACTCTCCGTTTTGTCGTTTAATTTGTGTGTAGTTGACTGTGTTTTTATATGATTATTCGGCCTTGAATTGTCGATTTGTTCAGCTAATTTTGTTGATTGAGGGAGTGTTTGACGTTTGGTTGGGTCCTTGTACTGACCACTGCTACTGTTTTTGTTGTTGGTGGTGGTGGCGGTGGCGGTGGATTCCGTTTCACGAGGACTGTTCCCCATTCTAGGAGATGTTGAACTTTTAATTGTAGAGAGAGTATTTTTAAATCGGGTTGAATTATCTTCAATTTGATTATTATTATTATTGTTATTATTATTATTACTACCGACTGTGTGCATCATATGATCTAGTCGGCTGAGACGTCTTGATCTGTTTTTTTTTAAACTAAAAAAAGTTAAAGAAAAGAGAAAAATCAAATTAATGACACTGAAAATTGAGAAGTGCATCTCATTTTTCAAGAAATTTTATTAGTAATCCATAATTTTTAATACTTAAATTACTCTGTTTGTATATATGCCTTTGTGTGATTGAATTTGTGAACGTTACGTTATCAACCCAGATAGCATAATCAGTGCATATATCAAGTTCAGATGATAAAGTTTGTGGATATGACCTCATTATGTATTACTGGCTCAGTTTTAGATAAGTTTCTTTATGTCTGTTAAGATTAGATCTCTAGTTGGATAGTAGGTGTGTGTATTGCTGAAAGATTTTCCATTAGAGCGATTTGTTGAATGGCTCTTAGCTTCTAATGGCTTTGAAAATGGTGTTAGTTTGTGTACGATTCTGTCTGTAAACAGATATTTGAGAAACTATGCAGCTGATTCCGGCCGATAGATGGCAACTAGTTAGTAAGTGGTGTAATATGTTTAGTGGCCAAGTTAAACTTTCGACACCACTAACTGCCAATCAGCAAACGACGTCAAATTATCCAATGAGATTCACGAACGTAGTTCAATGTTGTATAGCGCTTGATTCATTTCTAATGCGTTACCTTACAAGGTTACGGTTGCAATTCTAGGAGGACAGTGTTTTCCAGTATTGCCTGGATTTAAGGTTGCTCTGTAAGGAGCGAACTTGTTCGTGTGTTGGTATCATGACTGTAAAAAGCTATAGCAGATCAACTGATGGATTTGTTCATCGTTGTGCTATATGTTTGAAGTGTGCTAACATTAGAGAGGGTAAGCTGATAATTTTAATATTTCGTAGGAACTTTTTTCGCTAGGTCGCATCTCTCCGTAACCCAGATTTTGTATATCTGCAACAATTGGGTGTAGAAACAGCCGGTGAGAGCAGCAGCTGCCGAGACGGATAATAGCCTCGTCTCAACAGTTCAGTGGTACCAGCATTGCAGAGGTATTGCTTCGTGGATAATAGAGAAAATCACTTGTTTGCTGGATGGATCCCATTACGAGGACTCATACGAATTCCATTGAAGGGCATTGGGGCTGCTTGAAAAACAGAATAAGGGCTATAAATGGATCTCAAAAGGATCTCATTTACGCATTCAGATAAATATAAGTACACGATGTGGTGTGACTTCTCCATTGACAGTCTTATGCTAAACTTGGAGATGTTTCTCTCACATGTTCGAGAAAGATACCCCTTGTAACCGTTTTATCCTCTTTTTTATGCTTTTTCTATAAATATACGTTTCCATTCATCATATATGCCTATTTAATATGATTGGTCCGTTCAAAGTCGTTTGCTGATTGGTTGTTAGTGGTGTCGAAAGTTTAATTTTGCCCCCACGGGAGATCAGTCGCATCCACGAGTAGCTCATTGGTAACATCTCTAACCGCGACACTAAATGACGCGTGTTCGATTCTCAGAAGGGACATGAGTCCCTTCAACATGGTTGCAGATAAGCCTTGCTGACTGATGTGTTCTAACTAGCACGAAACGTAGATCGAAGGCTTCCTGTGACCGACTGCCAGAAGATAAAAATGTTTAGTCAATTAATGTTACAGACTGATTGGTCGTATAGTTTTGAGTTTCGTCTTACTTTGGACTCGTCATCTAGATAACTCCTCCGCTGGAAATCGAACCCATCACAATTAATTTCATATGCCAGAGCCTTATCCACCAGTCATGAGAGTGGGAGTCAACTCATATACAGGGAGGATGAGTTGTTATTTGCAGGAGCGTCCGCTGCCAGAACCTGTCGAGGGTTCCAATCCCATAAAAATCAATCAACAGAGAAATTCGAAGTAAGAATGATTTCAGGCGTTGATTTACTGGGATTTCACTGGTGACAGCTTTGACCCTGAACTAAAATCGGTTTAAAAAAAATCATTGGAAGACAAGGCAGTTCTGGATAGCTGTTTCGTTTTTGTTTGAGAGGGTTCAGCTGGTGATCAGTCCTGTAACCGATTAAATTCTACAAACCAACACTTGAAAATTAATGCGATACTCACTGATGACTAGCTCTATGCAGGAAGTTTCCTGGAGTTCTGGCGAGAAGTCATAATCAGCGGGATCCACAAAGTCAAGTAAGAGGTCCATTACTAGCCTCTGACATTCGATAGCAGTTACGATTCTACCCTGCAAATCCTCAGAGTTCAGAATTTGTGGCCTATTGGATTGGATCTCAGTGACTGAATTGTTACCGAGCTTGTCTCGTCAGTTGTAGGTCCTGGGTTCGAGTCCCCTGTGTTAGGTGAGTTCTTCTGAAGAGCCTTAAACAAGGACGAAATAGTTATGCAGTTCTCTGGGGGTCTTTTAATGATTTCTCTAACTGACATGACATCAGCTTGTAATCAAATCTGTTAGAATAATTTCAACAAATAATCAAGTTTTGTTCTACTCACCTATGGATTTTATGCAACATAATACGATATGCACCAGTGACAGCACTTCTTGACGCATAATTATATGAACTTTTTATCTCTTCAGTTGTAATGCCCAGATTTAATAATAACTTAGCAGCTTCTATTTCATCATTATCGATTGAATTTCTTGAGATGGTTTGACATCTTATTAATTTCCCGCATGATTTTCGATTGCTGCCATCATGGGCCACTAATTTGTTTAAGTCATTTTGAGAAGTAGTATTAATAGTAGTAGTAGTAGTAGTATTGGTGTTGTTAGTTGTATCTTCTGTTCGCTGACTGGTTGATTCAGAAGATGTAGGTGTTTCTTTTGAATCAGGCGTAATTCGATTGGTTGTTGAAGATGGCGAGTCAAGTGATTGTTTTTTATCTGTTTGATTATTGGTCAATTTAGTGTCTGATGTTGATGTTGAGATTGGCTGTAGCACTGAATTTGAAGGAAGCTAAAATGTATAGAAGATATACACATATAATTAGTTAGAGAATAAAGTGCAAACAAATTTTCATAAAAACTATATACTACTGATTGTCTGAAATGAGTAGTTACATACCGCTTATATCAACCGGAGTCGTTTGAACTGATTCGGCTTTCTGAGCTCAGTCAAACGGAGTGCACCGTTGGTAAGCTTATAATACAGAATGGAATTCCCAATATTTGTCACAGAATTCCCTCTAATTTACTCAAAATATAAATAAAAATTAACCAGAGGAATTTGTCCACATTTACAATAGGAATAAAGTCAAAAATGTGCCAAGTACAAAATGGGAATAATAAATATTATAATAACAGTAATAACAGTGAGTTTTTTTTTTCAAACAGAATTGTCGTTTCAGTTTGGAAATTGTAACATGTTATAGGGTACTGAGCGTGGGTGGCACGGCGGTCGAATGCTCACCACACACGTATGTGGTCTGGGGTTTGACCCTCAGCCGATGTGCTCGTTTACCTGGCTAAGTCATTAATAAGACTGGTGAAGAGGGAAGGTTGGCTAGGCATGAGGTTAGCAACCCCACCCAGTAAAAATAAAGACCACTGCTACAGAAACTCCAGGCCTTTAGCTTACAGCTGTATGTTCTAATGGGAACATATGGGAATAAAGAAACAAGAGTTTGATGTGGTTTTGTTCTCTGAGCAACTGGATGGTTAGTTTGCGAAGCTTTCATCACTCTACTGGGTGACATCTTCAGCGCATACTTCAATCTGTTGAAGTGAGCTTTTAGATTTCTCCACGAGTTTATTAATCATCTCTCCTGGTGGGTGACCTTGGACGTGATTGGTTGTTTGTGTGTGTTTTCACACCTTCTAGGTTACTTGTATTGGAACCGGTTGTTTCTTTGACTTGAACTTTGACCCTTTGTGTGTGAAGTTTCTTTCTTATTGGTTGATAAATTTTGTCTATCTCGATGTGTCTATTGATTGATGATGATTCACTGGAATGCCAAGCTTCTAAAAATTCTCTAGCATTCTTGTTATTTCCTTTGTCTAATATTTGAACGTTGTCCCAGTCTATAGATTCCAGTGGATCATCAATCAATAGACACATCGAGATAGACAAAATTTATCAACCAATAAGAAAGAAACTTCACACTCAAAGGGCCAAAGTTCAAGTCAAAGAAACAACCGGTTCCAATACAAGTAACCTAGAAGGTGTGAAAACACACACAAACAACCAATCACGTCCAAGGTCACCCACCAGGATAGATGATTAATAAACTCGTGGAGAAATCTAAAAGCTCACTTCAACAGATTGAAGTATGCGCTGAAGATGTCACCCAGTAAGGTGATGAAAGCTTCGCAAACTAACCATCCAGCTCAGAGAACAAAACCACATCAAAGTCATCCACCTGAGCTACAAATCTTCTCTATCATATCTAGAAACAAGAGTGTCCAGTCTAAGGTTCTCGTGATATAGCATGGTGAGAAAATAGACAAAAAAAATTGAGGAGATTATAAATATAAGAAGAACAATAACAATGAAGCTTGTGTAACTTTCCATAAATGTTGGGTAAAACCCGGACAATACAATGATCGAAGCTAAGCAGTGGGGCTCTTTTACGAGCTTCATATATTCCGGAGTCATTTGTGAAATATAAAATCAAGCGAAGTTACCAGTCTGGTGGGAAAGTTAACGACATTTTCATGACCTAGTACTGTAAGAGAGCTACAGTCAGAAGAATTAAATTCTCCTGTCACTATCGACACTGAGTTAGCAATGAGACGGTAGCAAAAATAGTGAATTCCTCAGGAAACATAGGTAGTTCTGAAGTACTACAATGAGGTCTGACATAAGTGTTCGTGATAAAAATGAAGTTGTACTTAGACAGGTGTTTAGGTCGATATTTAACAGTTATGCAGTCAATATTATCATTTGAGAATTTAAAACAGACGTTGTTGGCAACAGACCACTGAGAATTGATAAAAGTAGCAACACCACCACCTTACTTCTTCCTTGAAATACTTCGATCCTGTCTCTACATATTGAAACTATTCAGTAAGATTAAATTGTCATATGAATTGTGGAGTCCAGTTTCTTGAAGCGTTATTACACCTGTATATTACGATAATTATTTGAACGTAACAGAACATGCAGGTAATTAATCTTGTTCGATAATGACCTGAAATTTGTGCTCATAATCACAAGAACAGTCATCTGATGCATTGGATTACACTTGAAGGCTCTCTGTCACCCACCATGATACTTTTTCTTGAGTTTATTAGATACAAGTAAGTCAGCCGGTTAAAAACGTTTTAAATAATCACCAGGATAAATGATATGATTTGGGCATATAATTGAATAATTAAAGAACAGTAACAATTTCCCTTTTATTCCAGAAACAGTACTTGTGGTACAGTGTGGAATTTTCAGCACATATCTACAATATTGCATCTAATTTCATCGTACATTTAAAAGGAGTATTACAAAAAAAATAAACATAAAAAGAACACAAAAAAAACCAAAAAAGAAACACAGAAATAACAAAAAATGCAAATATAAATGCCAAGTAGAAAGGAAGATAAACACTAATAATGAAAAGATATTTCAGTACTGGGTAATGGAAGCTATGATATGTGCATGCGTGGTGAACAGTAACAGCTATGATCATACAAGAAATTATGAGATGTTCTTAAGAATGTTTATAGCCAAGATGATCACTTAATTTGATTGAACTACACTAAACAATCATAAAAATAAACATTTCAGGTTTTTAATTATTGTCAGCACTAATGCATAGTGATAATATAGTCGGACCCAGTAGATATACAAAAGAAGGAATAGAGTAAAGTACAAAAAAGTAAGCCAATGATAATAATATTATGTAGCTAAGTATGTTCAAGAAGGTTGTTCACAATAGAGTACAAGGGGGAAATGACAAGGGCCAAAATTATGTTATTAACAACAAAGCAAGTCATAGGTTTCACGCTTAACATTGTCTCTGTCACTTAGAACACGGGCTGGCCAAATATGGTATCGTTGAATTCCTATAATTGGTTGTACGAGCATATATTATTTTGTACTGACTTCTGGTTCTACCTGATGAGATGCAAGGAGAGAGTTGGGAATAGAGGGGGTGTTGGGAGTCGGAGAGTATGGTTTTAGTCCATTTCTCGCATGTATTCAGATGCTTATCCACTAATGTAGTGACGAGCTGGCTGAGTTTTACACCACTAGTCCTACTAACTACCCTCAACATCCTTCTCAGGATGGTATAGTCCTTTTTCAGTAACCCAGGAAAGACTAGCGGGGAGCAGTAAAGTAGAATAGGTAGGATACGAGAGTTGACAAATTGTGAAAGCAGAGGTTGAGGGACTCCAGTTAGTCTGAATTTCTTAATGTAGTAGGTTAGACGAAACACTTTCTTGGAAATCCAAGTAATCAAATGCAATGTATAAGTGATGGGAAATTTTGGTAGCTCATGGTTTAAGCAGGCCGCCGAATAACTTAGCAAAATTAGTTATATGCAAGTTTGCTTACTTTGTTTTGGATTCCGGGTTTTAGTATCACGAAGATCACGTACGTATTGTGGTGTGATCTGAATAAATTGATTTCTAAAGGAGACACGATGCTTACATCACTTCATTCCCCCCCCCCCACCCCACCCCCCAGGAACTGTGTGAACGGAAAATCGCTAACCGATCTTTACAAATTTTCAAGTATTGGTTGTTTAACTGGTTGGGAGGATTGCATCGTGAGTTGACATCAGTTAGAGAACCATTGGATAACCAGTCAGGGAGTACTGGACAGCCAGCTGTTTTGTCAGTCTAGTTTGGGACTCTTCATCAATAGGCAGCCACTGCCAGGCTTTGAACCCAGGAGCTTTGGTTACAAAGCGAGCTAGCTCGTAGACGATTAAGCCATTGGGACCCGATCCAATGGCTCACTGTTGTCAGCCTACTGCAGAAGCTCATCAATACCTTCACCCTTTACTCCATACTGAAGACCAGGTAACCGCTTGGCCATAAACAATACGTAGACAAACCGAGATCCTGTTACCTAACAAATATGCATACAGAATTGGAGATGGACTGGAGCTGATCACTAAGGCGACTGTTGGGTGACATCACTTACTGGGTAGGCTGTTGAATAGAAGGAAACAACGAGGTGGGAGGCATAGATCCAATAATGACAAGGAGGAGAGAGCGTGGGGGAGAGGAAACCAAGGCTTCTGAACAGTCGTGGAGCTCTCTAGGGAGAATAAAGTGAAATAGAGATGTACCCGCTGAAGCCTCACATTCCACTAAATAATCCAAAGGAATAATAGTAATAATGGTGTCTCTGAATGAAGCACTGTTTAACGCAGATTCGAATGTCTGTACTGGAGCCCTAGTTTCTTTGGCGTTGAAGATATGTTTTGCCGACAAGTACAATTAATGAATATATGTAACAGACCGTTGGAAACACCTTCTGTGACGTCTGTGTCAAGTCTCTGAAACATGCAGAAACACTTACATTACCATGAAAAAAGACAGCTGCCTTTAGATTTCTCCTGCTGATGGTGATTGTTCCTTATTGTTGCTGTCATTGATTGGGTATTTTTTTATCAACTCTGTTAGTTCTGTGTTCACCTGTGGTCGTGCCATCGCTTCGCCTTCTACCCACTTGTTGTGAATCTTTGATTATATGCTTCATTAGACATAAGTCAGCAGTATAACTCAGATCTTCTTGGGTTGACCGTATACTTGTATTCCCCACAGTCTGTTGTCTGGCCCAGTTCATCATAATTAAGCAGATGATTAGTGATGTGTTAGTAGGCATTCTTGTCTTACTCCTGTCTTCAGTTCAAACGCTTCGATGAACTTTCCTCTGCGAATTACTTGATATGTGGCATCATCATATATCCACTGTATAAGGCAAAGAGTTGACTGCTATTCGAGACTCTGTTCGATGTTGTGATTTATTTCCCTTTGATCCATTCATGATTTGATTTCCCCTGAATCCACCTTCTTTTGGATGTTGTTTCCCAGCCCCTTTTTATCTTTTAGTCTTTCCAGGATGATTTAGGCTTATTTCCACCGATTTAGCTAATCAAAATCAGAGCTGAGTCAAGCTAAATAAACTTCTGATGAATGATTACTGCCCGGTTCAGTCATTAGATTACTTCTAACTAATAAGCAGTTTAGATTGCCGCGAAGAATTTCTTACTACTCATATCATTTAGTAGTAGTATATGTCAACCGAAACAATTATCTCTCATATTAACAATTATTCCTTTCTTTCCTTTTTTTTCCGCAAAATGATTTTTATAATTTGTCAAACTCGGTATGTGTATGATACTTCTTACAGTTGGATAAGTTAATACTAACTAATCAAGTGTGACTTTTCAAAAACCTGGTTACCATTGGAAACCGATTGGGATTCAATGATTTATCTGGTTTATTTATGCAGTAAAACAACCAATATAATACTGATGTGTGTGAGTATGTATTCAATTTTAAATCATTGAAATAAAGCAGATTAAGGTCACACCATTTTTGATTTGGTCATTTGGAAAACACCCCACTTCCTGTCTGTTGTTTTTAAATAGTTTTAATGAATTTATGCTCAATTTGATGCCATTTATCTAATGGAGGGTAATATAAAATGCTACATTTTTTGAATTTAGAATACAATGAATTATTGATATTAGATAGTTGAAGGCAATCGGCCACAGGAAGCATTGCTTGACCTAGGTTTCGTTCTAGTCGGCAGTCACCAGTCAGTCAGCAAGGCGTATCTGCGTACCATGTTGAAGGAACTCATGTCTCTTCTGATATTTGAACCAATAAACTCTGGCTGAGGGCAAACCACAGGCAAGAGCCGATCGCTCAGCAAATATGCAGGATAAAATGGAGATGGATGGATTGGGAATACGTTGAGGAGGCCGTCTAATAACACCACGCAAAGTGCAGATCATCGCTCAGGTGGAATCCCAACAGGAAACGATGGGTTGAGCATGTGTCCGAGAGGGTGACATGGAGGAGATTGTTTGGTGAGGAGAAGATGAGAGATAATGAGAAATTGTTTAGCCAGGCAGCTAGCTGTAGATGACAGCTGAAAATAGAACAGAGTGGAGATGTTTTGTTTTTTAAACCCTACGTTCCACTTGGAACCCAAGAGAATAAAAATTTAAAAATGTAAAACTATGTACATGGAAATAAATAAGACCTGAGGAGGGTTCAGTTGAAAGAGAAAACAATATTATTCACTTGTATACGTCTTGGTTTGACCTTAACATCGGTCATATTTAATAATTTAGAGGTATTCATTGATTCGTGAATGCCTAAATAGGTGGAGAAATAATCACTTATTTAAGTTAATATTTCAATTCCCATTGATTAATTAATCAATCGAAGTTTTCGATCTTTTTTGCGTGCATTTCGGCCCATGTCTCGTGTGAACTCTTCGACAGTGTCCAAAGATGGATATCAGGGTAGTAAATGGTTGATAGTGACTCGCAGTTGAATCTAGGGCAGGTGTATTTCGTTCTGGCTGATACTCGTCATCTCAACGTACCTGTTCTCCACAGTGAGTGGTGATATTGTTCTTGCTGAGACTCTGTCCCCGCACCTATCATTTCAAAAGTCGAAGCGTTATGAGCCATGAGAGCCACCTCTTATGCAATGGGTGTCAGTTTAACGAGAGGTGACGCTCATGGCCTAAATGGTCTAGTGAATAACGCTTCGACCCTTGAAATGATGGGTGCCGGGACCGAGTCTGAATGGGAACACTATCACCACTCACTAATGAATACAGTTACGCCAGGTGACGAGTCCGAGTCAAGACGAAATGCATCATGCCCTGAATTCCACTACTAGTCACTAGTCACTCTCACTCAATAACAGAATAAGTGATTCATTAATTAAATAATTAATTCAACTTACCGGAGGACAATGTTTAAATCGAGGCAATGGTTTAGGAAATGTTTGTCCAGTTAACCAACTTGTCCATGTTGAACGTTGACGTAATGAGATTTCAATCGGGGATAAATCTTTCCTAGCATATTGGGCATATTTAATCAGTTGAGAAGCTGTCGGCCGTGTTTCTGGTAGTCGAGCGGTTAAATTACGATAAAGATCTGCTGCTGCAGGAGACAGGCTGTCCGGTGGTTGTAGACCACAATTATCCAGAACTAGTCGTCTTACTTGTCCAACAGTTGAACCACGAAATGGCAGCAAACCGGTTAACATGAAAAATAATACTATGCCGAGAGCCCACATATCGACTGGCCCACCACGATAACTGAAAAGAAAATATAACGATACAAAGATTAGAATGTGTTAAAACTATAAAATGTTCTTATCAATTTTAATTCAGACAATGCAATAAGAATGAAGACGTAATTTGTCCAAATCGTGTATTGTGTTTATTCGCGCAGCACATTTCGAACAGTCTGATCACATACACACGGACTTGTCATAGGAATACACATATATGAAATTAATAAAGAGTTTCACAGCTTCTGTCCATTATAGTATAAGAGAGAGGCTTGGTGAAGTGTCGATTTTAAGAGGATTCAGCGTATTTGCACGGCTGATGTTATGGACAGAGAAAACGAAATATTGATGGATACTCTTGTTGAAAACGGGGATATCCTTTGAAATTTTTAAACAGGTGTAGAAGTCAACCAGCCTCTAAAACTACAATCCATACCGTCCCTAAGAAAAAGGTTTTTATCAAGTTACCATATAACGGGGAAATAAACAGTAGGATTGTGAGACAAAGGCTGAATTCAATCATCCGTAGAACCTACTATGCTGCAGCCCAGCTTGTAATTGTGGAAAAAGCTAAAAATATGCTTCACTGCAAACCTCAAAAGTGCACAAGGGATTATATCACATCCCATACAATTTACCAATTTTCGTGTTGTGTGTGTGTGTGGACATACATACATAGGGAGGAGTAATCGCGCTTTGCACGTGAGGGTGGGAGAGCATATCCCAAAATGGTTAGAAAAACAGATGAATTGTGACAAGCTAATAGATGCAGGTGGTAGACTACCAAATTCGTCTATAGCTAAACATCTAATCGAGATGAACCATAAGATTGATGTTAACTCAGCCTTTAAGGTCATCTATAAAAACGGTCAAGGGCGTTTACTGAAATACGCTGAGGCTATAGCTATTCATAGACTTAAGTCCCCCCCCTTGTGTATTCAAAAACAGTTTGTCATTACTCTTAACCTACCACCTTGGTAATCCTTATTTGATTGGATTACCAAACGTTTGTGTTAATTATTCTTAATTCCGTTTTCTCTCACTTTGTTTAATTTAACCTTTCTATATATATTGACTTGACAAGTAAATATGTGATCAGATTGTTCGAAATGTATAGCGCTAATACATCACATTTTTCAGACAGTCTGCGTCTTCTAATAACGCTATCAAAAAAAAAGAGTTAAGAGGTGAGAAAACAGACTAGAGGTCAAGTTAAATGAACAATACTGAAGGTCAAAATAACAATGATGATCAATCACTAAACCAAGTAGAAGAGGTTATAGTTCAACGACAGAAGACAAGGGCCAGGCAACAGATCGTTTATTGAGAAAATCAGCACACATATTTATACATTTTTATGTACATTATCATTAGCGTTATTTTGGCTGGCCACTGGTAACTAATGGGATGTGTCTAGTCCTCGGTGTTTGGTGCAGACTGAATTCTATCAGTCAGTCAGTCAGTCAGGTTTGCAATGTGGCCACAAAGCCTAAGTTCAAGGCTTCCAGCCGCTCTCCTCCAACCATCTAATATTAGCATTATTGTTAGCAGAGGAGCAATGTCTTCTGATTGGTTGTTTTCTTGCTGAAGGTTATTCTCGACTGCTTGTGACTGTTTCTTAGAAAGCTAAGCCATATATATATCTGCGAACTGTATTTCCACACGTTAAGTCTGCTGTGATTGGTTGGTGAGTCCCTCATGGTTAAGCTTTGTTATTATTTTTCCTCATGACCTTGATTCGGGACGTAAACATTGAAGTCAATTGTTGTCTACAATTTTGTCTTGCAGACACCATTCACCACAATGGTAAATCTACCCTGGTATGAAAACAAGTTTTACCAAGGAAGATTTAATTTGATTGACAAATTGTTGCTTTCAATGCATGAAGGTGGTTTAAACTTCTTAACTGCCAGGTAGGGCTTCCACAAACTTCAGGATACACCTCAAACACGTTTTATAAATAGGTTTAAAAAACGTGTGAACATCAATTTTATGTCCTGTCTCTATAATATGTTTCTTAATAGAGGAGCTAGGTCTCCTGTTCTGGAAATTCTGTTCGCTTCTGAAGCCATTTAGGGATAGGTTCTGAAGCCCTTAATTGGAAAGATTGATGAGTCTTCTCTATTTTCAAAGGGCTTAGATGGATATACTGGCTTCACATTCTCAATTATTATGATATTAGGTGTATAAAAAGTCTTTTTAATGAAAGCGTTCAATCTTTGTCTAGTTGTCAAGCTGCTGCTATTATTATTATTATTATATCCTTTGATTCGTAGAGGAACATAGGGCTTCAGCTGCGCGTCTCCATTGCCTTCTGTAGCTTGATGTACATATCTTTCATAGCTGCAAGTTGGAGAATGGGTCTTGGTGGAATTACATTTACCATAGTGCCGAAGTTCTACACTTACGTTAGTTCTCCATTCTAGCTTTCCTCGAAGGTCTGATGCATGATGCCAGTCAGTAGTTGTCTTTTCAGACTATTTTCAAGCTATCTCCATTTTCCCCCTCATATTCGTTGGTTTATAGGTTTTTCTTTGGCTTACAGCACTGCTAGAGTTCCCCAGTTGCTAATGCCTCACTGATGTGGTGGCATCAGTGTGGAAAATTCAGATCTTAATCCTGGCTTTGATATCCACGACCGTTTCGTCTGTAGTAAAATAAGATACTACCTGTGTAGCGACAGAAGACAAGGGCCAGGTAACAGATCGTTTTATTACGAAAATCAACATGTATTTATATATATTTTATGTACATTAATAAGGCTTATGCAAGCAGAAAAAGGCGGTCTTCTGATTGGTTGTTTCTCGAAAGTTAAGCAAACAAACGCAGTCTTCTGATTGGTTGTTTTCGGTATTTCTCGGAAAGTAGAGCCATCTATCTGCGAATCATATTTGCCCACGTTTAAGTCTGCTGTGATTGGTTGTTGAATCAGCTTAGATTAATGTCTACCAATCAGCGTAGATTAATGTCTACCAATTGGCTAGCAGCCTGCTCTCACCACAGTATTATTGACTGGTCATCTTTACCTCGTCTGTCTTGTCTGCGTTCACTTGAAGTCCTGCTCTCGCTACCTGTTTCTTCTGTCAGCTCCTTAGTTTTCGTCTGTACGTCTTGGCGTATATGATATTAGAGTCTCTTAGAGTTTTCTTGTTCGCCCAAAGGACTCCTGTCTACTCAAGCCGCATAGTCTACCACATAATCCATTCCACAACAACAATCAGGAATATCATCGGTGATAGTAAGCAGCGTTATCCTACTCTTGTATTCAATTCAAAGCCATCATTGAGTTTTCCGTTGAATGAACTTGATAAAGTTTTGAGCACTCTGTAGTGGTGTTGGAGCATTTCCAAATTACTTCTCTGTCAACGCTTTTAAAGGCTTTTCAGAGTCAGTGAAGTCAGGGTAGAGATTTGACTACCATTCTATGTTCTGTTCGACAATGATGATACGTAGAGTTGTGAATTGATCTGCACATGATTTGCTCTTCTGGAATCCAGGTTGTTAAGGGCAGAGTTCTGCATTTTGGTATATCTTCTATATTGCCTCCAGGTTGCTATGAATCAATATTTTGCCTCGCTTGGACACGAGTATGATTCCATGCTAGTTTTCATAAAGGCCTAAGTTGCCTCATTATGGTAGGTACCTTTCATTCCTTCTAGTTTTTCTTCAATAATGGCGTCAAGATATCCTCTGTTGTCTCTGCGTCTGTTTTCAAACCGACACGCTTAACGCCAGGATAAGTTTCTTCCTCAATATCATCAAAGTCGTTCTTGTACGACAACAATTGTGGTGAGAGCCGTCTACTAGTCGAAATTGGGTAGACAGCAATTCACGTCAATGTTTACGTTCTATGTCTTGGTCATGAGAAAAAAAGTCAAGAACAACAAAATTAACTCAACAGCCAATCATAACAGATTTTGAGTGGGCGGATACGATTGGTAGATATATATGGTCTGACCTTCAAAGAAACGGCCACAAGCTACAAAACAACCAATCAGAAGACGCTGTTTCGCTGCTGCTAATAACAACGAATAATAATGTACATAAAAATATATAAATATCTTGTCCTTGTCTTCTGTCGTTACACAATAACCATCAGCTTAGAATTTCACAATGAAGAAAGTAACAAAGCAAAGTTAACTTACGATTGAGATTCAAATAATTCTGGTGCAGCATATGCAGGGGATCCACAAAATGTAGTCAACTGTTGATCTGGTGATTTGGTTAGTTTACTGAAACCAAAATCCACCAATTTTACACGATAATGATCAGGACATAAACCTGAAAGAATGTTGAAAGGAAAGCAACTTTTAAAACAAAAAAAAATTCATTAACAAGTACAGGAGATCTGAAGGCTCAAATGTTAAACAAACAAACAACAGTGGGAAAAAAGCCCATCTTCATTCAACTTGGTTTTAAAGGTGAAAATATTACAGCAGTTGCCAACATAAGATTAAGGACGTCACTAGCCAGAGCCTATCCTGCAGCTAAGCTGGTTCTCGTCTATCCAACGACATGCTCTTAGGTGCAATCTAAACTAGACAGATATCCTTTTCGTGTTGACTCCAACTGTATTTACAAATCTGTGGGAGCAGTAACATTGGAAGAACACAGAGAGAAAGGTATACCTCAGATTTTCTGAATATTTGGTCGAAAAGCCTACATCTCTAAAGGGGAGCAAATGCTTTCAACAGTACCATCTTCAGACATCTCCTTGACACGTGTCATGAGGTGGACGGTGCGTCGGTGACATAGTGATCAGGACTCTCGCCGACCATGCACACGGTCCGAGGGATTCGACCCCCTGCCGAAGAACACCTGGCATTAATGGTTCGCCTGCAAAATTTGGGCTACCGATGTCTGATGCTGAAAATTCCATACTTGTACCGAAAATAACGTGTGGAATCAAGCTGTAATCCAAAAAATAAAAAAAAATCTTCCAGCTTGTGGGAAATCAGACATATATATCATCTTCGCAAAATCCAGATCTATTTCTTTGTGTGGGTCCATTTGATGTCTGTCTTTTGGTTGCCTGTTGTCTGTCACATTATGCAGTACAATGGTGGAAGGTTCTTAGAAGCTCAAGATGGTTAGCAGGCCGCCTCATCAAACAGATATTATCATTATGAATATATTTATTTTATTGATTTTGATTATAGCTTGATTCCACACCGTATTTTCAGCCTGTGATGTCAGTAGCCTAAATTCTACAGGCTGACCATTAATATCAGGTGTGCGTCGGTAGGGGATCGAACCCCTGACCATGTGCATGGTCTGCTAACATCCTGACGGCTGTGTCACGGACGCATATTAAAACAACTTGATACATTGAATATATGCACATTGAAAAGTAATGTACACCTTACCATTTATGTCTAAATCTCCACCATAATGTTCACTATCATAACTCGATGATTTCAACGATTCACTTTGATATAATTTACTCGATTTCATCTTAGCAGCAGCATAACCTTCTCCTTCATTGGAATACATTCTTGTAGGTAGATTACCTTTATGCCGATTACCGCCTTCTTGATAGTGTTGATTCCTTGACAAATTTATTGCATATTTTCCTAGCTGTGGTGAATTCCTTTCATGTGAAGAACGTTGCTGGTGCTGATGACTATCGCCTTTTGTCGGTGAATCATTATTTCTACTCGATTTACTTGAATGTGATCTATGCCGTAGAAGTTTATGAATTTTATCGCTTAGATTACTTCTTGTCTTTAGAATATTACTATTGTTATTACTGCTATTATTATGTTTTATTGATTTGTCATCCTGTGTATCGATTTTCGATTGTGTTGATTGTAAATTTTGAAAATTATATGTGAAGAGTATATTCTCAGCTTTAATATCACGATGTATAATATTCCGTTCATGCTGAACAAATAGAGAAGGGAAATAAAATTATTAATAATATATATATAGAAAGGAATTTTCAGACTTGTAGATATTTCAGTAATTATTTATCAGCGTGACACAGCGGTAGAGTGCTCGTCGACTATGCAGGTGGTCAGTGATTCGATCCCCGGCCACCGACTCACTCACTCCTTTACCTCGCTAAGCCAGCAATAAGACTAGTAAAGAGGGAAGGTTGGCTAGGCATGAGGCTGGTAACCCAATCCTGTAAAAATAATCGCCATTTCTACCAAAATTTCAAGCCCGTAGCCCACTGTGAACTACCCTTCCAAATGTGCAGATATCCTGTGTTATCCTCTCGTGGACATATTTAACGAATATTTTTCCAGAAATGTCGTGCCAGCCGTTTGGAAAGACATAAAAGTTGTACCCCTATACTCAATTCATCTACTGGAACATGGATTAAATTTGGACCTATTGCTATTACCTCTCCTTTTCTAAAAACTACGTGAAGAATAAACTCTTACTTAATGTTCAACTTTCACTCAAAGCCTTTGACGATTCCAAAATAATTTGCCTAGAAACATCGTTGAAGTGCTTTAAATGCAGCTACAGTCTTGCATAATAACATTGTCTCCAGTTTAGATAGGAGGGCTAAATTACAGACCCGATTTCAACTCAGTACCTAAATAAGCTTGCTGATACTCAAACTGAGTGTTGCAGAGTTCAATGGTGGTATTATTATTTCGCAGGAAGAAAGCAGTACACTGTATGTCAGGGAAAGTCGTCCACTTCATTGCTTACTGAGGCCGACGTCCCTCAAGGCACTCTCCTTTCTCCTTTTCTACTTTCTTTCTTCTTGTATGACCTGCCTCACTCTGATGATGAAATGAACATCGTTAAGTATGCCGATGGTCTAACTATTTTATTGTCTGTTAACTTCCAGCTAGACTGTACTAAGATGAACAGCTTTCTATCACGAGTCAACAAATGGCCTTCGTCTAATTGTCTTAAACTAAATCCTTCCAAATGTCAGACTGTCAATTTCACTTTCCGAAGCAATAGAGAGTTAAATGACGAAGCTATTAATTCCTATGACCGTTGCAAAATTGATGACAGAGATATAGAAATCAAGTCTGAAGTTAAGTATCTTGGATTCATTCTTTCTTCTGACCTACCTATCCTGATCTTCCCATGTCTTAGCGATTTCTAAAAGAATATTTCGTCTGACTTTTTACATTAAGAAGTTAAGGCACTCAGGCATAACTCAACCAACCCCTCTTCATCCTACAGCTTGTCAACTCGTGCATCTCACCTATTCTTCTTTACTGTTCACCCCTATTCTTTCCTGGATTGCTTAAAAAAGACTATGTCATACTTCGTAGAACTCTGAAGACTGTCGGTCAGTTGGACGAGTGGTGGTATCCCATTGGGCCATATCGTTGACACCGTCATTGATGATAGGCACTTGATGTCATGCAGCATATCTGCTAAATGAATTTTGTCAGACTATGAGCATCTACCACAACACCTGCAGCTCCAACCTTGTGTCCTCCTCAGGTAAGACAAGAAGTCTTTTCAGAAGACTTTATGCATGTACGTCTAACTATAAAAATTCCACTGTACCATATTTGGCGGTACGTAGTTTAACTAACCTTCTTTGCATTAGTAAATAAACCATTTTCTCCAACCTTATTCCACCCAGCTTTATTGTTATTGTAATTCTTATATTTATAATCCTCTCAAATTTTTGTTTTTATTTGTCTATGTTTTCATAAGTGTGAACATCATTTAAGCTGTGTTATAACTGTTAATTTCGCCTTTCCCCTCAACATGCAACTATATCAACAGAACATTAGATTCAATAATCTATAACATGCTAAAATTTCCAAACTAAATCGACAATACTGTTTGAAACAAACTCGCTCTTATTATTATTATATTTAATACTTTCAATTCATGCTTCGAATATTTTTGACTTCATATCTTAAGCGTGGACAAATTCCTCTAGTTACTTTTGTTTTAATTTTATTTATATTTTAAGTAAATCAGATGCGAGGTGTTGTGACAAATGCTGAGAATTCCATTCTGTATTATAAGTAGTGCTGTTTTTGGAATAAAGTAGATTATTATTATTATTTTATGCATAGTTTTATATTACTAACATCAACCGGTTCGCTCAAGTAGCTAGGTTGACAGAAATCGCATGGTGTGAACAATGATTCGCCTATCTTAGCTGAGCTGAGCTGAGTTGAACAACGTGCACCACCACTAATGAGTTCTGCTGCAAACGATCAAAACAGCTGACCAGTGCTTGGATCACTTTGGTTTGCCTAGAATGCACTACTGGTTAATTTGAGTAGTAAATAAGGACTCATCCCCATCAGTTAGTAGTATAATATAGCGTTATGCATTTCTGCTTGGTTTTGTGACTAACATTCATTCACTTTCCAAAGGGAAACCTCGATAAAATTTCACTCCAAGTAGTATAAATTGCAAATTGTGAATTTGGTTAATTTCAAGAGTTTATTGTGGAAACTTGGTTTTTTTATAGGTTTTTTTATTTTTTTCATTTATTTATTTATTTTTTTGATTTACAGCTTCATTCCACACTGTATTTTTGGTACAAGTATGGAATTTTCACCATGGATATCGGTAGCCCAAATTTTGCAGGCCGACCATAGATATCAGGTGTGCGCCGGCGTGGGCTCGAACCCCGGACCATGTGCATGGTCGGCGAGAGTCCTAACCACTGTGCCATTTTGTAGTTCGAATATTTTTGACATAATATCGTAAATGTGTACAAATTTCTGTGGTTAATTTTATTTATGTTTTGAGTAAATTAGACGCAATCTTGTGAAAAATGCTGAGAATTCCATTCTGTACCAGAAGTACTGTTTTTGGAATAAAGTAGATTATTATTATTATTGCTTTAATATGAAATTTGATTACAAAATGATTTCATTGAAAATCCAGGAGTACTAGACAGCCTCTTTCTCCTAGTTTGTAACTGTTCAGCAGTACGCACCCTGCGGGGATTGAACTTAGAATATGCATGTACAACGCGAACTTGTTGACCATCTAGTCACTCGAACGAAATCTAGTGGTCGGCCCATATATCCTAATTTCTACCAATTCATGATATATAGCTGAATACCATCGGTGAGCATATTGTCTTCATACTAATTTCAGTGGACCACAATTACCTGTTTTTAACTTTTCACAAGATATTCAGACAAGTTCCTGCTCTCTCTCTCTCTCTTTCAGTCACTAGTGAGCACTGAATACTAGCACTTAGATTGGCTACAGGATTTCATTATGAGCTGAAATCGGTTAGTGAGTCATTGGAAAACCTGCAGGCAGTACTGGACAGCTCTTTCGCCAGTCTAGCTTGAAACTGTTCATCAGCACTCATCAGTACCACCTAAATTCGAACCTAAGATATTCTGGCTGCAAGGCGAGCCAACTCGTTGACCATTTAATCACTGGGACCCAATACAACGGCCATAGCATGAATACTAACTTCCCCAATTCCCGACATAGCGCGACTGCTAGTCAATGTCTTCGGCGAGTATTTGTCCTCACGCCCGACCTGCTGCACCCTACTTGTCCCGACTTCCATTAGAACCCCAGGTAACTACCTACCTGAATAAGGCCAGTCGCTAGTGAGCATCGCATTGATATTTAAGTACTGGTTCGTAGGGGATTGAATGTTGTTTTAATTATTAGACATTATAAGTAGAGGAAATCAGTGTTCAGCATTAAGTCCACCTGAGTTTTATGCTTGTTCATCGACTGTGAACTGATATTAGTTAGAGAACCATTGAAAACAAGCAGGGAGTACTGGAGAGCTGATTCATCCTAGTCTGCAACTCATCGGCAGTTTGTGTCCACTGGTGTTCGAGCCCAGTTACAAGGCAAGCTAATATGCTATTCAGCCACTAGGTTCTGATGAGTCCCAACCTAGGACGAAACAGCTATCCAGTAGTCCCTGCTTGTTTTTTCAATTGTTCACTCACTGATATCGCCCCGTGGTCAAAGTTGAAATAAACCAAATACCCGTGAAGGAATTCTTGAATATGTTAGTATTTAATTGGTGGATGGTGACTAGCAGTGGAATCCAGGATAAAGCGCATTTCGTCCTATTTGGGACTCATCAGCCACCGGATGTACCTGCATTTCTCAGTGAGTGATGACGTTCCCACCGAGGCTCGAATCCCAGTACCCATAGTTTCAAATGCCGAATCGTTATCCACTAGACCACTTGGGCCACGAGAGCCACCTCTTGTGCAACGGGTCATATTAATTATTGAATTGAATTTTTGATTTTCCCGTCGATTGTTTGGACCGAAGTTCTCGGTCTCAGGTTGACATGTCGGCTTCTTGTGCAGATGCTTCGACGATGTCTGGGCTTTGGCGTTTGAAACTATGGGTACTGGGTTCGAGCCTCGGTGGGAACGTCATCACTCACTGAGAAATGCAGGTACATCCAGCTGACGAGTCCCAAATAGGACGAAATGCGCTTTATCCTGGATTCCACTGTTACCCACCATCCACCAATTGTATACAAATCAAATCCCCAGACATCGTCGAAGCATCTGCACAAGAAGCCGACATGTCAACCTGAGACCGAGCACTTCGGTCCAATCAATCGACGGGAAAATCAAAAATTCAATTCACTATGTTAGTATTTGTTCAATTGGTTTAAAAACCCATATATTCAGCATTTCCGTCAAGTATAATGTCTATTGTCTATTTAAAATTATAAAATACTAAATCAAAAAATAATATTTTTTTTTAATTAAAAAATTTTTAAATATTTTATATTTTTATATATTGAAGACAACAAATTGAATATAGGGATACCCACTACAGATCTTAAAAAACTACTTTTGAGATGTACATTGAATGTACAGTTTACTTTCAATGAAACAATCTACAGGCAGAAGGATGGTATTGCGATGGGTTCTCCCTTGGGTCCTTTCCTTGCAGACGTTTTTATGTCCAGTCTAGAAAATGGTTCCCTGAAGCCTATAATCCAAAGCTTTCAAATATATAAAAGGTATGTAGATGACACCTTTATTATTTGTAATATTGATTGTAACCTGAATAATATATTAAGTGTATTTAATGAGTGCCATTCTGCAATAAAATTCACACTCGAAATGGAGAACGAGTCTAGCATTCATTTCCTCGATATGAACAGTAAAAGTTCTCCTGTCAACTTACCATCTTCAAATTCTAGCGAAATTGTCACTGAAGCGGTTGTCGTTGCGATTAGCGATTCGATTTGTTAGCTTCATATGTGTGTCAGTCGATTAAGCGGTATTGTCAGTCAGATTACTGAAAAACTAGTTAATCAGTTAGCCTGAATAGCTCAATGGTAAAGTCTCCTTCACTAAAGAAGTATCAGATGATACAGCTTCAAGCATATCGTAGGGGGGGGGGAACATGTCTTCCTCCATGTTGTAGGTACACCCTGTTGACAACTGACGTTGGCCATGAAACCGAAGTAAGTCAGGCCTACCGTATATATTGTCTCTAACAGAGAGGTAGCTCTCGTGGTCCAAGTGGTCTAGTGGATAACGCTTTGGCTGGTGTTTGAAACTATGGCTACTGGGTTCAATCCTCGGTGGGAACATCACCACTCACTGACTGGGGAATGCAGGTACATTCGGCTGGCGGACGAGTCCCCAATAGGACGAAATGCACGTTATCCTGGATTCTATTGCTGTAACCATCCATCTGTTAAATTCAAGTTCGAAAAGGACCTCAAATTGTTTCTTCAATACACTTATGCTACTATCGAGTAACTGGAATAATGTTTTGATAAGAATTAAGGTACTTGTAAAAATTCACTAGATTGTTAATTCTCTAGATTTCAAATTAACACACATCCTACTTCCATAGGAATTCGCATCAGCTAGAGAATTCCAGAACACAAGCGAGGTTCTGTGGAGATGTCTTATCTAGATTAGAGACTCCAAAGTATTCTGTGATTCAGTTCACTATAAGTCCTAGGAAGGCTAGGGAAAATTATCAATCGTAATTTACGAATTCATTCGCCATTATTAAGTTACACAACCTGAGGTGAAATTTCACCTTTGTCTTCTTTGGGAATCGAAATAATTCAAATCAAAACATTGGGTGTGTTTCATACTAAATAACTAAAATTGCAAAGTGTTACATACTACTGATTGACGTATTTGAGTAGTTGGAAATCACCCATGTCAAATAATACTGCCTGCTGTTCAACCAGATCAAAGTGGATTAAACACTGGAAAGCAGTTTCGTTGGTTTAGGGATCAGCTCATCACTAGCGTGCTTGGTTCGACCCTCATCAAAGAGCCTAGTCAGTTCAAACCACCCCAATTCTAGTTAGGTAATTCAGAAAACTGGTAATATATATTTCAGATCAAATTCTTAATTTGTAAGTTAAATTGAGACAGGTAATTGATGTCCCATCAGGAAATCAGAGGGAAAAGAACAAGAATTTCGGCAAAGACAACCATCTTATCGGTGATTTCATTCTCAAAAGCTGATGTAGAATCGTATGCTTATACATAAATTTGTTTAGGTACAATTATTATTGAATTTCACATAGTAGCGAAGGTGATTGAAGGTGGTAATAATTTTCAAATTGACATGAAAGTTGGAAGGTGTGAATATGGATGACAAGGGTCATAGAAACAAGATTACACAGGATTAGAAAATAGTTTTTTAACGATTAAACGTGTGAATGGGATAAGCATGGGAATAAGTAGAAAGAACAAGGAAAGTGAAGGGGATGAAAGGACTAGACCTAAGGAGACTAATCGAACTAGATCTATGGTAAATGTAGGGGTTGAACCAGTTTCTTTTAAAACATACGGCTCCGGTTTCTCGATACATATGGCGAGGGCTTTTGCGGTCAAAAAGAGCCAGAAATATACTGCCTCTAGTAGATTTTTGTTTAATTTATAAATAAGTCTTGTAAATAACTGACATATCCCTGTTTACGCCATCTCTAGCTTAGTAGACGTGATATCCGGGCGGCTATCGACCAAAAGGCGTGTGTACTGCTCATCGGTCCACTCCGTCCTCCTCTATGGCTGGCTGTGAGACTTGGCAGCTGAAAGTGTGGGACATGAAAAAACTATCTATCTTTGATCATAGGTGTCTGCATTCTATCTCCCATGTTAAGTGGTATATTAAGGTGAGCAGTATTGAGGTTAGGCATTGGTCAATATACGAGGCTGTGAAGTTACATTGATTGGGATGTTTAGGATATGTGTTACGTATGCCTATCCACCGTCTTCCTTGATGAGCACTGTTAGCTGACATAGGGTCAGCCTGGAAAAGAGCTAGCGGCGGTCAAACCAAAACATGGCCTCAGCAGTCAATGAAATCCACAACAGTTAGTTTAAGCCAGCCAGCCAGTCAGTCACGTAGGAAGATGTAGACTTCCTGACTGGTTAGGGTCCTTGGGACGGTAAAAACCAATGAAGGCTGGAGACAATTGGTGATATGGCTGGCTCAAAATCGTCGTTTTCAATGGCTAACGCAGATGCATCCACACCTTAAGACTTATGATTTCAAATGAAGTTGTATCGTTCTCCGTTATAACTATTCCTGTGTCTCACACCTCTGTTTACTGTGTCTATTATGCATTTCTTCTACTTTCTTCTGTTGCTTTGTGTGGTACATGGAGGGAGTGTGGCGAATTGAACTTCTGCACATCGGTACAAAGTTCTATGTTGTAAACAGACAGTGTGGTGAATATATCCAACGGCTGATAAGAAGTTATAAACTTACCACTCATCGATGTACATTATAGATTCTTGTTTCACCAGTAGAGTAATAATAGGTATTGAAGTACTTGGCTTTCTATCTGTTATACTGTAGACGAACAAACGAACTAATCGCCCAACGATGAACATATCCATCAACAGACTTGCTGAAGCTTTTTCTAGTCATCACACCACCGCATGAATACATCCTTTCTTTCCTAATCAACCCCACATCTAAGCAATACTGGAAGACTTGATGTTCAAAAAATTGCAAACGTAACTGCATTAGAGCAAGCATTTGACTCTAGCCAAATGTAATAGAAACTTAAACTTCAGTGAATAAATCTCATTAGACCATTCGAGGTCAATGGTAAGGAAACACTCTAGTGGTGTGGTGAGAGCAGGCCGTGAGAAAATATGTACAAGGCTGATTCAACAACCAATCACAGCAAAGTTAACGTGGCAAAATATGATTCGCAGATAGAGAACTCTATTTGTCAAGGAATCCCGAAACAACCAATCAGAAGCCTGCGTTTGTCTACCTAACTTCTGATAAACAACCAATCAGATGACTGCGCTTATCTACTTGCATAAGCTATAGTAATGTATGTGAAATATATATATAAATACGTGTTGATTTTCATAATAAAACGATCTGTTGCCTGGCCCTTGTCTTCTGTTGTTACAGTGGTAGTTAGCGTTGTTTAAAGTTTAACTTGGCCATCCCATTTTTGGTAGATTCTCATTTGCACGTAAGCTTTCATCACACTTGCAATAACATGTCACCAATGGACGCCCAATTCGCCATTTCCCCGCCGAGTTCAACACTACTACATGGCGGGTGATGTCAATCAACGTTCTCTTCAGCCTATGTCAGATCTATCTCAACTTCCTTTGGCATTTCTGTTGGGCGAAAGGCTCACAGTTGCTCACATTAGCAGATTTTCTTGTATTTTATCCTTTTTCGTCATCTGACTTTCAACAAAGAGTGAAGTGGTCAGTTGTAGATGAACGTCTACAGCAGTGTTCTTGGAATGAATTTGATGACTTACGTGGCAAGTCTTCAAACCACATAGAAGGACTGACTGACCTTAGCAGTGATTTTAAATATTCCGATATATTCCCTTACCCTGAGTACTATAAATTTCTGCACTCATTTTACAGTAATGACCAACAATCTTATTTTCCCGATTCTGACTTTATTGTCAACATCCATACCGCCTTTAGCTGAAATGATGTTGCCTAGACATGACTAAATAACATTCTATTCACGGAATTCATGTTATTCTTGAAAATTCATTCATTAATGCCTTAAAACAAATCAATTCATATAGTTGTTATTATCGATTAAATTGAACTATTGAACAATATGGTGGACATGCTTAAACAAAGAATAGTTTTAAAACAACTTACTAAATGATTAACAGCAGCAACCAACTGAGCAAATACAATTCTTCCTTCAGCTTCACTTAATTTACCATATTTTAATATCCGACGATTTAAATCCCCTCCAGCAACATATTCCATGACAAGATTCAAACGTGTCAATGTTTCAATAACCTTGAAATGTAAATTGATTAAAACAAATTGTTTGAGAATAAAAACAATCGATTTAACAAGATTTTCGAAATATAATTAACACAGCATAATAATGGGACAAAAAATATCAGAAGTACACATCTTAGTTAAATAAGAAAAGAAGATTGAAAGGGGCTTTTCATGGCTAATACTACATCATGCATGTATTCAAAAGTAAAACTAATTACATATTAAAATTTCCCGTTGAAACATTTAAAATGGTGGAGAAATTGGCTGTTTAAATATTTTTTTCTACTTAATTTCTTACTGGACTGATCTACATTAATTTATCATTTTTACTCACTTATATAATAATATATATTGATTATAAAAAAAAATTTTCAAGAGTGACTGATTGATTTTTAACTTAGATCATGAGATTTATGGGAATTTCAATGGTTAGATTTCTTCACGAACTGAGAGTATCAATTAGAAAGATGAATGAAAATCACTGATGAAGAGCTCCTCGAACATAGGATGAAACAACTAGCTATCGTTTAGTTCTACCTGGTGGTTTTTTGAACAAAGAAAGAAGAAACATTGGCGCAGAATAATCTTGATCCATTTCATTTCGTTGATTCTCATCAGCTGCGCACAACCTGAATTCTGTAATAAAATTAAAATAGTGTACCACTTTAACAAACATTTGTCCATTAGCAAGCATACTGTCAGAACGTCATAGTAAAATGAGGCGTTGAGATTTACAGGGTGTCTAAAGTGTTACAACATATATATATATATATCTTGGTAGAGAGAAGTTTCTTGAACAAACTGATTAACAGTTGTGTTGTTGGGGTGGTAACAAAAGAAAATTAAAACAATTAGTCCCTTTGATAAATTTGAACAAGGCATTAAGAAGACAAATTTCTCTGCGAGATGATGTCGTCATTTCGTAGTTTCTTTACAACCACTTTACAACTAACATGGTTAACAATGATAAAATAAAGTTCATGAAAATTACTCAGTTAAATAAAAAACAGAAGTACATACTAATGACCAATCATATTTAGATAGGTCATGTAGTCAGTCCAGGGTAGGCGATAAGGTTGAAGTCTATTGATTTTTGTACACACAGTTTAGGCTGTATGTGATTAATCCAAAGTGCTTCCATCACCTTCAATAACCTTGAATTACAGTTATGTGGTGAAATAATTGTGAAACAGCCGAACATTTTCGATCCCTGTACCTACGATTAAAGGACGAAATTCTGTGGACTCTACTTCAAACTGTATCTACAAGTTCACCTGCAGCTGCGGTGACACCTATATAGGTAGAACTAACAGAATGTTCCAATGTCGTCGAAAAGAACATGTTCCAAAATGGCTATTAAATCATATCGAAAATCCTAACGCGATTAATCTTAATAGGCATCCAGCATCATCCATTGCAAAACACTTATTATTAATGTCAGGTCACAAAATCAATACTAATGACTGTTTCACAATTATTTCATCACATAACTCTAATTCAAGGCTGTTATTGAAGGTGATGGAAGCACTTCCGGGGATTAATCATCACATACAGCCTAAACTGTGTGTACAAAAATCAATAGACTTCAACCTTACGCCTACCCTGGACTGACTACATGACCTATCTAAATATGATTGGTCATTAGTATGTACTTCTGTTTTTTATTTAACTGAGTAATTTTCATGAACTTTATTTTATCATTGTTAACCATGTTAGTTGTAAAGTGGTTGTAAAGAAACTACGAAATGACGACATCATCTCGCAGAGAAATTTGTCTTCTTAATGCCTTGTTCAAATTTATCAAAGGGACTAATTGTTTTAATTTTCTTTTGTTACCACCCCAACAACACAACTAGTTAATCAGTTTTTTCAAGAAACTTCTCTCTACCAAGATATATATATATGCATGTCGTAACACTTTAGACACCTTGTAAGTCGAAACGCCTTATTTTACTATGACACTCTGACAGTATGCTTGCTAATGGACAAATGTTTGTTAAAATGGTACACTATTTTAATTTTATTAAAGAATTCAGGCTGTACGCAGCTGATGAGAACCAACAAAGTAAACTGGATCAAGATTATTCTGCGCCAATGTTTCTTCTTTCTATGTTCACATTTATAAAAGGGTATCCGTGTATAAAATTCAGGTGGTTTTTAACGATCTCTCTAACTGGTCATTTTGGTTTGTGGTTGAAATCTAAACAGCTGAAATGAATTTTCAAGAGTTAAATAAATTAGTTAGTAGGGATTTGATCTGTTTCAAGTTTGATCGTGGATTGATCACATGCTCTCCAGTGACTGGCTGCAAGACAAAGTTCCCAGAGTTCTAGTGTGAGAAGTCATGATCAATGGGGTCTATCCTGTTGGGAGTGAGGACAGCTACTTGCCGCCGGTGACACTGTCTGGTAGTCGCACTAAAATCACCAATTGGTAGAAGGTAGAATTCATGGGCTGGCCACTGAGTCAGATCCCAGTGACTGAATGGTATACGAGCTAGCCTGCCTTGTAACTGGAAGGTCCAGGGTTCGAAACCTGGCGTGGAGGGGTGAGTATTGACAACCATTCCTAAACTAGGATGAAACAGCAGCTGTCCAGTACTCCAGTGCCGGTTTTCAATTGGTTCTCTAACTGATATCAATCCATGTGTGGTCAAACCTGTAAAAAAACAAGTTTCCACAATAAACGCTTGAAAATAAACCAAATTCACAATTTCCAATTTATACTACTTGGAGTGAAATTTTATCGAGGTTTCCCTTTGGAAAGTGAATGAATGTTAGTCAGAAAACCAAGCAGAAATGCATAACGCTACATTATACTACTAACTGATAGGGATGAGTCCTTATATACTACTCAAATTAACCAGTAGTGCATTCTAGGCAAACCAAAGTGATCCAAGCACTGGTCAGCTGTTTTGATCGTTTGCAGCAGAACTCATTAGTGGTGGTGCACGTTGTTCAACTCAGCTCAGCTCAGCTAAGATAGGCGAATCATTGTTCACACCATGCGATTTCTGTCAACCTAGCTACTTGAGCGAACCGGTTGATGTTAGTAATATAAAACTATGCATAAAATAATAATAATAATCTACTTTATTCCAAAAACAGCACTACTTATAATACAGAATGGAATTCTCAGCATTTGTCACAACACCTCGCATCTGATTTACTTAAAATATAAATAAAATTAAAACAAAAGTAACTAGAGGAATTTGTCCACGCTTAAGATATGAAGTCAAAAATATTCAAAGCATGAATTGAATGTATTAAATATAATAATAATAACAGTGAGTTTGTTTCAAACAGTATTGTCGATTTAGTTTGGAAATTTTAGCATGTTATAGATTATTGAATCTAATGTTCTGTTGATATAGCAGTATGGTGAGGGGAAAGGCGAAATTAACAGTTATTAACACAGCTTAAATGATGTTCACACTTATGAAAAAATAGACAAATAAAAACAAAAAATTGACAGGATTATAAATATAAGAAATACAATATCAATAAAGCTGGGTGGAATAAGGATGGAGGAAATGGTGTATTTACTAGTGCGAAGGTTGGTTAAACTACATACCGCCAAATATGGTACAGTGGAATTTTTATACTTAGACGTACGTGCATAAAGTCTTCTGAAAAGACTTCTGGTTTTAGCTGAGGAGACACAAGGTTGGAGCTGCAGGTGTTGTGGTGGATGCTCACAGTCTGACAAAATTCATTTAGCAGATATGCTGCATGACATCAAGTGCCTATCATCAATGACGGTGTCAACGATATGGCCCAATGGGATACCACTACTCGCCCAACTGACCGACAGTCTTCAGAGTTCTACGAAGTGTGACATAGCCTTATTTAAGCAATCCAGGAAAGAATAGGGGTGAACAGTAAAGAAGAATAGGTAAGATGCACGAGTTGACAAGCTGTAAGATGAAGAGGGGTTGGTTGAGTTATGCCTGAGTGCCTTAACTTCTGAATGTAAAATGTCAGACGAAATATTCTTTTAGAAATCCTTAAGACATGGGAAGATCAGGATAGGTAGGTCAGAAGAAAGAATGAATCCAAGATACTTAACTTCAGACTTGATTCCTACATCACTATCATCAATTTTGCAAGGGTCATAAGAACCAACAGCTTGATTTAACTTTCTTTTACATCGAAAACTGAAATTGACAGTCTGATATTTGGAAGGATTTAGTTTAAGACAATTAGACGAAGACCATTTGCTGACTCGTGATAGAAAGCTGTTCATCTTAGTACAGTCTAGGTGGTAGTTAACAGACAATAAAATAGTTAGACCATCGGCATACTTAACGATGTTCATTTCATCATCAGAGTGAGGCAAGTCATGCCAGATAAAAAAAGTAGAAAAGGACAAAGGACAGTTCCTTGAGGGACACCAGCCTCAGTAAGCATCGAAGTCGACGACTTTCCTTGACATACAGTGTGTCAACTGGTCAAGCAAAAGTTAGTGCCATGTACTTTAAGGACATGTTTCTTTGAAGCTTTATACATTTTTTGATTCAATCTTCATCCTAAAATCTTTATCGGATACCCATTCGCATTAAATGATTGGTAGATAGATATATAGATGATATTCAGCTCCGTTTCTATGGTTACATTGGGGCGAATTCTCATTATTATAATTATTTAGCTCGTAGACATGGACTCGGCAATATTCTATCCAAAATACCTAAAGAATTAGGCGGACTAAACATTCACAGTTTAGCTTCTCTCTTTTTAATTCGTTTTATCACATAAACAATAACATTGATTTTGTTTGGTCATAGAAGAAAATTACAGAAAAATGGAAATAAATTAAAATAAAATGTTATTTAAGTTTTGGTTTGTAGGCATTTGATTGATTAATTACAGGATTTCATCATGAGCTGACATCTGTTGGAGAACCACTAGAGAATCTGGGAGCATTGGATAGTTCATTCAGAATTTGTAAGCCATTGGGGGTCGGGTTCCAGTGACTTAATGGTCTACGAGCTATTTCGCCTTGTAACCAGAATG